ATCACGCTGGTGATTCAGCAGGGTATTTCTCTGACTTTCCCAACATGCTTGGTTAAAGTCATTCTTGCAGGATCTTTAGCATGTTTTATTAAACAAAGAAACCAAGGTGCAAAACAGTGTGCAAAACAAGGTGCAAAACAAAATATTATTTAAATATACATTTGTGCCTGTGTGTGGAGAGAGAGAGAATGAATAACTCTGGGAGGAAATATGAGATCGGTAACCTTTCGCCTTCCAGAAGGGAAACCAGGTGGCTTAAGGGAGGGACAGAGGTAGGAAGGCGACTTTATGCCTTTTGCCTGTGGGTGTGTTATTACCCAGACTATTTTTTGAAAATTAATTTATGTTTATTTTGGTGGTGCTGAGTCTTCGTTGCTTCGTGAGAGGGCTTTCTCTAGTTGTATTGGGGAGTGGGGGGGTGGAGGGTGGAGTTTACTCTTGGTTGTGGAGGTTTCTCTTGTGAGCCACAGGCTTCAGTAGTTGTGGCGCATGAGCTTAGTTGCTCCTTAGCACGTGGGATCTTCCCAGACCAGGGATTGAACCCGTGTCCCCTGCATTGGCAGGTAGATTCTTATCCAGTGTACCACCAGGGAAGTCCTGGACAATTTTTTTTTTAAATAAAAAAAAAAAGAAGACATTCTCCCCCCATCTCAGCAGTGTTTAATTCTGATTTCTCTTTTCTTCAAAGATACTCCTGGCTTTATTAGTTTGCCAGGCTGCCATAACAAAGTACCAGGTGCCTCGAACAATAGAAAGGTACTTTCTGATAATTCTGGAAGCTAAAAAAAGTGCAACACCAAGGTGTCTGCAAGGTTGGCTTCTCCGGAAGCCTTTCCACTTGGCTTGTAGATGGCTGTCTTGTCACCTTGTCCTCAGCTGCTCTTCCCTCTGTGCAGGTCTGGATCTTAATCTCTTCCTATAAGGACACCAGTTATATTGGATTGGATTAGGGCCCATACACAAACCTGATTTTAATTCCATTACCTCTTCTCGCATCCTATCTCCAAACACCTTCACTTCATGCGGCCTGGGAGTCAGGACTTGGACACGTGAATTTTGGAGGATGCAGCTCACCCCATGACCCGGCTCTACACGGATTAACTCACCCATTCAGACCAGTGGTCTCTGAGGGACAAGGACAGGTTCTTACATTCAACCAACTTTAATTAAGCTTCCCTTGGGAGGGGAGCTCTGTTTTAGGGGTGGAGATGATGTGAAATTGACTGAGACTTGATTCTGGACAGAAATAAACAGGAAGAGGAGAAAGAGTGAGAGAGTGAAAATCAAAACACCTGATCATCCGATCCTGACTCCCTGTCCTGCGAACTTAGTCTGAACACGACTTTTATTCTCCAGCTTTATCATCAAGGGCAGGATGAAACAACACACACCTCCAAGGGTTGTTGACCCACTGTCGACCCACGCCTCCGCCAGAGACTCCCAAACACTCACAGGCAAGTCTGGCTCAGTCTCTTGCGGGGTCCCTGGTCCTTTCTCCTGGGTCCTGGAGCACACAAGGTTTGTTTGTGCCCTCCCAGAGTCTCTGCACAGTCCTGTGGAAGTTCTGTAGCTGAATTCCGCTGACCTTCAAAGTCAGATTCCCTGACCCTGATGCTGGGAAAGATTGAGGGCAGGAGGAGAACGTGAGTTTGAGCGAGCTCTGGGAGCTGGTGATGGACAGGGAGGCCTGGTGTGCTGCAGTCCGTGGGGTCACAAAGAATCAGACACGACTGAGCGACCGAACAACAAAAGAGTTGTTGAGAGGATTAAAGAAGCCACATGTAAAATACCGGGTCTGTAGTCCCCGTTTCATATACAAAGCTGTGGTTCAGCTCAGCTGCCCCCTGGGCTGTGGGGCTCCAGGCGCAGGGCCCACGCCCTTTTATCCTGATAGCCCTGGAGGCCACAGTGATCAGCAGGGCACTGGCTGGACAGCTTTGCTGGAGCAGTGAGTACCCCAGACTGATTCATGAGGCCAGGTGAATCCACCCAGAGAGACGCTCTGAATTATCATAGAGGCCGCCTTTAAAGGCAGTTTTCTCAGCAGGAGCCCAGCCCGGTGCTCTGTGACAACCTAGAGGGGCAGGATAGGGGGTAGGGGTGGGGAACGAGGCTCGAAAGGGAGGGAGTGTGTGTTTACATGTGGCTGATTCATGTTGTTGGACAGCAGGAACCAACACAACCTTGTAAAGCAATTATCCTCTCATTTAAAAAAAATTTTTTTTAGTAAAATAAAAAATATAAATAAATAAATAAAAGTAGGGGTTTTTTTAAATGAAAAAAAAAATTATGAGTATTAGTGTTAATACAACCTTCTTGGGAATCACAGGCTGATGAAGCCCAGGGATGTTTAGCTATATTTGTCATTTCTGTCTTTGATGCCACACAGATCTTCCCAGGATAACAGGAAGCACACCAGAATTATTGTGGACATTTGCTATTTTGAACTGCCAAATACTGATCCTTCTTCTGCTGTTAGTGGAATCCCACTGTTCTTTGGGTAACCCACCTCCCAGCATTCTTAGCCCATGTGGCTTCTTGATTGATTGATTTGGCTGCATCCGATCTTATTTACGGCATGCGGAATCTTTCGCTGAGGCCCACGGGCTCTCTAGTTTTGGCAAGTGGGCTTCAGAGCGCACGGGCTCAGTAGTTAAAGCACATGGGCCTAGCTGCTCTGCAGTATGTGGGATCTTAGTTCCCCAACCAGGGATTGTCCTCCGCGTCACAAGGCAGATTTTAAACCACTGGACCACCAGGGAAGTCCCGCCCATGTGGTTTCAGATGGGCAGATCAAAACTCCAGCTCCAGGAATGAGTACAAGGCTCCAGCCTGCCATTGAAAGCACTACATTCTCTGTTAACTATGGATGACTCAGCAACGGGCACATGACCCCAACTGGGCAAATCAGCAATTCCTGGGAGTTTGACAGGCTGTACCAGGAAAGACGTGCTCTCTTTACACAGGGTTGCTAAACTCAAATTCCTGATGGCCATTTTGTCATCTGGAGAAAGCCTTCCTGAGGTCCTGGTTACATGGTTTGAGAAGCTGGAATAACTTGCTGAAGCCAGCATAATCCCGAGTACCATGTTGATCTGAGCCCATAAACTTTCCTCCTTTCTTAAATCAGTTTGACTTGGGGTTCTGTCGCTTATCAACCAAACGAATGGCACATAGGGGTGGAGATGACGTGAAATCGACTAAGACCTGATTCCGGACAAAAATAAACAGGAAGAGGAGAAAGAGAGAGAGCTCTCAATAGTTTTTCTCCCTATGTAACTCGGGTCCTTTCTTTGCAGGCCTAGAACTAGTCACTACTAGAAATCAATTCTTCAAACACCTTGCATTTAGACTCCCTCTGGAGTTTATAGACATCTTTCAAAAATCCAGAGGTAGGTATGCAGAGAGATATTGGAGTGAGGGAGGACATGCGAGAGGGGATAACTCCACCTGCCCCGTGTGCGTGCTGACTCTTCAGTCGTGTCTGACTCTCTGTGACCCCACAGACTGTAGCCCGCCAGGCTCCTCTGTCCATGGAATTCTCTAGGCAAGGATACTGGAGTGGTTTGCCACTGTCTACTCTAGGGGATCTTCCAGACCCAGGGATCAAACCTGAGTCTCCTGCGTCTCCTGCGTTGCAAGTGGATTCTTTACCACTGAGCCACTGGGGAAGCCAACCACACTTGCCAGGTGGATCCAACGCTGATTACGGCCCAGCCAGCACAGCTGGCTACAGGGCGGCTGACTGTCTGCTCTGGGCCAAGGACGTGCTGGAGCTGGCTCGTACCAGCTAACGAGAGGATTTGTTAAATATCTGAACGTTTTGTAGCTAGTTGTTAAACCACTGATAGTTTGAAATCTGCCACGCCTATCACCAAACACTACAAATCAAGTTAATTTTCTCCCCCTGGAGAGTTTATCAGCAAACCTCAGGTCCTGGCCTTGATTCAACAGGTCTGGAAACGGCCAGCAAGATTGAGTGCAGGACTTCCCTGGGGGTCCAGGGGTTAAGAGTCTGCCTGCCAATTCAGGGGACGTGGGGTGGATCCCTGGTCAGGGAAGACTGTACCTGCTGCGCGGTGACGGAGCCGGGCCCTCGAGCCTGTGCTCAGCAGCAAGAGAAGCCGCTGCGAGGAAAGCCCCCAAGCACCGCAGCTTGAGAGGAGCCCCCACCCATCACAGCTAGAGAAAACCTGAGCACAGCAACAAAGACCCCGGGCAGCCAACAATAAATACACAAATAAAAAAAGAGAGAATGAGTGCTAGAAAAAAAAAAAAAAAAAAAGGTAGCCAAAATTTATACTCCTACTGAGAACGGCACCTTGCCCCACTAGCAATGCTGTAAAGTAGAAATTATTATTCATGTCCTGTAGATAAGGAATCCAAGGCCTGGGGGTTGGGGGTGGGGGATGGGAAATGGCTTTCTTGTGGTCAGAAAGCAAAACTCAGAAATCAACTCAGGTCTTTGGACCCCATGCCTACAGTCGTTTCACTGACACCTCAGCAGGAGGTGACTGAAGTATCAAAACAGGGTCTAAACAAGTAATTTGGTCACTGGGGATGGAAAAGCTGTTTCTATAAGAAATAGCTTTTAACAGTTTATTTCTGAACAGAGGTGGCCAATTAGAAAGGCAGCTGCCCGGAGATTAGCAATAATACTACATATTCAATCTACTGGGGAAACACAGCATCATTTCTAGTAAATTATATACCTCACATTTGCACAGAATATTTGGTTGGTTTATGAAACCTTTTCAAGTATGTTGCCTCTGTAGATCAATTCCTTTAAAATGTTCAGACTTAGGCCCTCTGTGGCATACCGATTAACCTAAGATCCACCACCGACATTCTTCTCCCTTAACTGCTTCCACTAAAAAAGTCTGGGCAAGTGGAATATATACTTTTTCAGTCTCCCTTAGAGACCTGCAGACATGTTATCTAGCTCTGGCTATGTAGACTTAAGCACAAATCGACTTTGCTGATAAAAAGTGTTACCTTTTCCTCTCTTTATCCTGCCTTAAAGAAGGATATGATGTCTGGTGCTGCAACAGCCATTTTGTAGCCATGAGGTGACAAACCAAAAAGTAAAGCAGAGCAGAGCAGAGCAGAAAGAGAGCAAAAGTATAGGTCCTTGATGGCATTATTGATAAGTATGATATCCTTGATGGCATTATTGAGTTGACTCCAGGCCATTTCCTCTGAATATTCTATAATGTGGAGAAAAACAAACCATTGTTATTTGAGTATTCTGTTCTATGCAGTGGAAGCATTCCTAACATAACTGGAAATTCTACTTCTAGGAATTTATCATAAAGAGCACCTATCATAGAGGAAAACTGGAGTCTCAGTGTGCAGCAATATGAGGCTGATGGAATAGATAGCAGAGTGGCTATAGTATATACTATTCAAGGACTGAAAATTTTGTAGCAGGCAAAGGATTCTTAAATATGCATTCTTAAACAAGTACCCTTAAATATATCAATACTAGATCCTGCATGCCTCAACTAAAGATCCCACACACTGCAACGAAGATCAAAGGTCCTGTGTGTCACAAATAAGATCTGGCACAGCCAAATAAATATTTCAAATAAATAAATAAATACAGACAGACAAACATTTTTGCATATACTTTTTCTGGGTGCATAATTCTTTTCAGATTCTCAACATTTTCAGAAAAAGTGTTAAGTATAACTTTTTCAAATTAATATTTGTAGGCATAGAAAAATGTTCACAATATATTGGGAGAACAGAAATTGACAAAACAGCATGTTCAATATTCTTCCATATTGAGAAAAATTGAATATATGTTATAAATTTATGCATGGTACTTAGTCACTCAGTCGTGTCCAACTCTTTGCGACCCTCTGGACTGTAGCCCACCAGGCTCATCTGTTCATGGGGATTCTCCAAGCAAGAATACTGGAACAGGTTCCCTTTTCCTTCTCCAGGGGATTTTCCTGATGCAGGGATCAAACCCAGGTTTCCTGCATTGCAAGCAGATTCTGTACTGTATGAATGGTGGTGACCTGAAATTTACAGAAGATATACTTGGGAGCCCCACCCCTCAAAAACAAACTTTATTCCTAAAAACCCAACTAATCCTACTATTGTACATTCTTGCTGATTGTAGAAAACTTAATCTTATAACTCAGAGTAACTCTGACACTTCCTAATTTAAGATGGTCAGTTCAAGATCCTCTCCATTTCTTCCTTCTCCCCTGTTTCTCTAGCTCTTCCGTAGACAGATGTGCTGTCCTGGAATCCAGAGAAGTGGCATCTGGTCCCACCCTTCTCTCTGTCTTGCCCTTGGCCTCTGCAGGTCATCTTTTCTGGTCCCCATCATCAAGCCCTGGCATCTGCTACTTAAGTCTCTGGTCTGGTCCTAATTGTTAGTTGAGAAATGTATGCACTCCCTGGTCTTCCTGGTCCCAACTTATTTTCAGCCCACTTGACATCCTTCACAGGGGCCCACGGGGGGATTCTTAGATGCTTTCCCACATCTGAAAGGATGCTCTCTGTCTCACCACATCCATTTAGCAATGGCTACTTTGCCTCTCAAGGCACCAAGTTTGACAAGGAGAGACTTGAATGGACTCACATCCTAGGGGGAGAAGCGCAAGTGCCTCCTGTTTTCCTGTTCTCGCTAAACTTACTCGGGATTCCTAAGGCACATGGCCAGTCTCGGGCGCGGGGCAGAGCTCTGAGACCCTCCTCGGAACTGAGGCAAGGCTCAGCTCTGTTTTCAGCCTTCCCAGGTTTCCTTTTCTCTCCAGATATTCTACCTGGTCTCTCTTTCTTCAGACCTGCATTCTTCTCCATTCTGGGACTTGTCTTCCAAGCACTGTGCTCTGAAGCTCCCAGGTTTTTCTTTCATATATAAAGTCAGGCTATTGCAAATCTGAAGATAAGTTTTTCGTTTTCTGTCAAAATCCTGGCTCTTGTGAATCAAATGTACTCTGGCTTCTAAGCTTTTGTCTTTGCTGTTAAGTTTTCAAGTCACCCTCAGAGTAGCCAAGATTTGGGCTTTTTGTTTTTCTAAACTATTTATTGTCCCTCATGGGTAATGCCTGGAAAATGCCCAAATGGTGGGTGCAGAACACAGGGTACAAAGTAGCGTGTGTTAGGAGGAAACGAAATATTTATCTCTCAAAATATTTTTCTGCTGCCTAGACATCAGAAAAGATCTGAAAAGATGCATGCTGGGGTGTCATCATTTATGATCCCTGGATGATGAGAGTATATTAAAATAATAGCTATGATGAAAGTTACAGAAAACCCAACTAACAGTGGCTTAAAATAACAAGGGTTTATTCTCACAAAATGAGAAGTCTGGAAGTGGGTGGCTGCTGGCATTAACTCATCAGCCCAACATTGTCAGGGCCAGCATCTGTGCAGTTCCCTCGGCCTTTCTCCGCGGTCTCGAGATGGTTGCAACACTACACGTTACATCCCACATTCAAGGGAGAAGGGATGGCAGGAGCCCCATCTGTTCCTCTGAGCCAGAAAATAAAAAACTTTACCCCTTCCTCTCATTGGCCAAAACTGGGTCACATGGCCCCCCCAGCTGCAAGGGAAGCTGGGAAAAACCCAGGGTTGGTTGGCGTGAGGTTAGTCGGCTGCTGGTGCCGACCACAAGGGGTAGCTACATTCTTTTTTCCTGTTGTTCCTCTGTGTCTCCTAATTTTTCCACTATTGACAAATAATGCCATCTTTTATCTCTACTTCTCGTTCTCCACCTCTCTCTCTGTGACAAGCCTGCAGCGGAGGACAGCCTATAACACCAGCTACAGGCTTAAACATATTTTCATTTTCTTATAAAAGAAGTCTGGAAATGGATAGTTCATGACAGATGTGATAACTCCATCCTCTGGCTGTGTTGCTTATCTAATAGCTTCCATTGGCAGAGTCACCTCATAGTGATAAGAGTGCTGCTGCCTTTCCAGCCATCGCATCTATATTCCAAGTAGTAGGAAAGGAAAAGGTCACAAGACGTAACCTTGTTGTCTCAACACAGTCAACAACATCCTTGGAAGAGCTTTCCTGGAAGTCCCACCTAAGTACTATCATCTGGCCACTCTTATCTTCAGGGGAGACTGAGAAATATAGTTTTTCACATAGGTATATTGTTACTCCCAACAGAGTCCTACTCTTAAGGAAAAAGAAGGAAAATTGTAACTGGGTAAGTAGCTAGCTCTCATTGCTAGCCTATATTCAGAAAGAAGGAAAGGAGATTGAACATTGGATAGGCAGTTAGCCATCTCTACTGTTCCATCTTTAGAATTCCATCTGAGGAAAGTACTGTGCGTGGTTGGGAAGAATATTATCTGATGAACTGTTCAGATAGATGGGACACCCAAGAAGCATGGTCCAATAATTCAGTTCAGTTCAGTCACTCAGTCGTGTCTGAGTGACTCTTTGTGACCCCATGGACTGCAGCAGGCCAGGCTTCTCTGTCCATCACTAACTCCCAGAGTTTATTCAAACTCATGTCCATTGAGTTGGTGATGCCATCCAACTATTTCATCCTCTGTCGTCCCCTTCTCCTCCCGCCTTCAATCTTTCCCAGCATCAGGGGCTTTTCCAATGGGTCAGTTCTTCTCACCAGGTGGCCGAAGTATTGGAGTTTCAGCTTTAGCATCAGTCCTTCCAATGAATATTCAGGACTGATTTCCTTCAGGATGGACTGGATGGATCTCCTTGCTGTCCAAGGGACTCTCAAGAGTCTTTTGCAACACCACAATTCAAAAGCATCAATTCTTCAGCTCTCAGCTTTCTTTATGGTCCAACTTTCACATCCATACATGACCACTGGAGAAACCATAGCTTTGACTAGACGGACCTTTGTTGGCAAAGTAATGTCTCTGCTTTTTAATACATTGTCTGGGTTGGTCATAACTATTCTTCCAAGCAGCAAGCATCTTTAATTTCATGGCTGACATCACCATCTGCGGTGATTTTGGAGCCCAGAAAAATAAAGTCTGTCACTGTTTCCATTGTTTCCCCCACCTATTTGCCATGGACTGATGGGACCAGATGCCATGATCTTAGTTTTCTGAATGTTGAGTTTTAAACCAACTTTTTCACTCTCCTCTTTCACTTTCATCAAGAGGCTCTTTAGTTCCTCTTCACTTTCTGCCATAAGGGTGGTGTCATCTGCATATCTGAGGTTATTGATATTTCTCCTGGCAATCTTGACTCCAGCTTCTGCTTCATTCAGTTCAGCATTTCCCATGATGTACTCTAATTATAAGTTAAATAAGCAGGGTGACAATATCCAGCCTTGGCATCCTCCTTTCCTGATTTGGAACCAGTCTGCTGTTCCATGTCCAGTTCTAACTATTGCTTCTTGACCTACATACAGATTTCTCAGGAGCCAGGTTAGATGATCTTGTATTCCCACCTCTTTAAGAATTTTCCACAGTTTGTTGTGATCCACACAAGCAAAGACTTTGGCATAGTCAATAAAGCAGAAATAGATGTTTTTCTGGAACTCTCTCACTTTTTCAATGATCCAACTAATGTCGGCAACTTGATCTCTGGTTCCTTTGCCTTTTCTAAATCCAGCTTGAACATCTGGAAGTTCACAGTTCATGCATGTACTGTTGAAGCCTGGCTTGGAAAATTTTGAGCAATACTTTTCTAGCATGTGAGATGAGTGCAATTGTGCAGGAGTTTGAGTTTTCTTTGGCATTGCCTTTCTCTGGGATTGGAATGAAAACTGACCTTTTCCAGTCCTGTGGCCACTGCTGACTTTTCCAAATTTTCTGGCATATTGAGCACAGCACTTTCACAGCATCATCTTTCAGTATTTGAAATAGCTCAACTGGAATTCCATCACCTCCCCTAGCTCTGCTCGTAGTAATGTTTCCTAAGGCCCACTGGACTTCAGACTCCAGTCCAATAATTACAGGCTCTTAACTCATCTTCTAGGAAGGAAGTTCAGATTAATGCTGGCCTTCCTTCTGCTGAATGGAGACGTGGCTTTGAATCCAGAGCCGTTTGGCTTGGACAACAGAGAGACTAATTACTGCCAAGAGGACTCCTATTTGTTTTCATTTTTAATACCCAACAACATTCAGCCTCTTCTCTAAATACCCTTTTAGCAAATATTTGAAGAATAATGGTTTGTAGGAACGCCAAATTATTGGCCTGCCTGGGATAGACATTACTTGTGCTCACTAAAATCTGGTTTCCATTTTCCTCTTTC